TTCTCTAGTCCACAGGCCCCTTCTGCCAGGGCAGAGTCACGGAGTCTTGAAACTACTCACAGAAGAGGGGAGACCGAGGCTTCACTCCTGCCGGAATAGACGTCTCACCATCCTGCCATGCTCACCTTCACCTGTGTTGCCAGAGGTGTGCAGCTGTCCGTTCTGGGCTCCTCCACTAAGTCCCCATACGTCCATCTGCCCTTCAGTTTTCCCCTTTCCTCTCCTGTTCACTTGCTTTGTAAGTTTATGCACTGTAAAATATTTTAATCCGCTCGCTGATGTTTTAGTAGGGTTTTGGGAAGGAATGAAAATGAGTGCACGTGTCCCGCCTTCACCTGAAAGTCTCCCAGCTGAGATGTGACGGCCGCGTGAACACCTGAACACCCTTGATGTCAGCTAGGTAGCAGCATGCGGAGAGCTGGCCCTTGGTGTTGCGAGAATAATGTGCTGTCCTTCATCCGTCACCTCAGAAATCCAAGGGAGACAGTGACTGACCAAGGCAGGAAGCCGTGACATGGAACTGCTGCAGGCCTGGGGCCTGTTACACTCCGCATCGCCCCGCGGTAGTGGGGTCCCTCAGCCACCAAGGAGGTAAACCGCCCTGTGGGTTTGGTGCACATGAAGTTGGCAGCTTGCATCCGTGCCATCTGTCTCATCTTCAGTCGAAGTCTCTGGAGCCAAGGCAAGCGCTTAGAAATGCTGTTTGCAGATTTGGAAAAACATGCTGATGAGGTGATCTCTGGTTTTCATTGCTGGCAGTCAGGATTAGAAGGTTACTTTCATTGTGTGTGTGTGTTTCTGTTTTTTCTTCTTTTTCTGTTATAGGGCACATGCACTTGCTGGAGAGATGGGGGGTGTGGGGTGAGACAGCATTTCCCAGTTGGGTTGAGGGATGGTCACACCACAATTCCTTCTGTTCTGTTTCTCCTTTTGAGATTTTTGGGTATGCACGCATACTTGCCCAGGGTCATTTTCAAGCCACCGGGTCCAGGACTTGAACCATTCCATCAGCCATGAGGGATCCGGCTGCCCGAACCACTACACCCCTTTCCACCCCTGGAAAGCATTTGGCTCATAAAGCCCTGTTAGGAGCTGTGTGCTACCTGGGGCGTAGTTGTTTATCATGTGTTTTTGACAACTTTTTTCTTTTGGAGAGTTTTTTTTTTTTTTTCCCCCCGCTATAGGGCATGTGCACTCGCCAGCCAGACAGAGAGAGACATAGAGACAGAAAGCGAGAAATCATCCCCCAGGGGGGATGGTCACGCCGCAATCCCTTCTCCTCCATTCTCCTCTCGGGATCTTGGGCATGCACGCACATGTGCCCGGCGTGAGTTTTAAGCCACTGGGTCTGGGACGCGAACCGTGGTCAACTACGTGGGAGTCCAGCAACATAGCCATTACGCTAACTGCTGGTTCCCGACAACTTTTGATGATTTAGTTGAATGTTCCTTGACCACGAACTATCTGCTAGGTGCTTCTGTGCAGTCAGCATTGACATGTAGCATATTGCATATACTGTTAGAAATTAAAAGAATTTTGTCTAGTTTTTTTTAACCTCTGTCATGCAAATCTTTTTTCTTTAATTAGGAAGTGTGAGCTTGCAAGAGAAAGACAAAGCACTCCCCAACGGGGTGTAGTTACACTACAATTCTTTTTCCTGCATTTCTCCGTTATGTCAGGATGTGGGCCATGCGTGCACATGTACCTGCTGCTATTTCAAGCCTCTGGGGCAGGATTTCAACCACCGTTGGCCTGGTAGAATCTGGTTCTCTCTGTAAAGCACTTAGCCACTGTGGTAAGGGCAGCCCTGTCATGGCTATCTTTTATAAATTTAAAATCTCTTTCCTTTAATTCTAATAATCTTGTTGATGAGAACTGTTGGGGGCACTAGGGGAAAAAAAAATCACACCTTCCCACATATAATGGGCATGTGTTCTGCCCAGGGAGTGCTCAGAAAGGCTGTATTCTGCCGTTGGCTCATTTTTCACTTTATGGACAGTGGCAAATGTTCTAGTGCCCAGGTTAGGTTGGGCTTTGGCTTTGGTATAGTTTTAAAGCAATCGAAAATACAGCATTAGGACTTCATGACCCTAAACTGCACTACAGTATTGCTGCATTTAAAAACTATGTGGGGGACCAGCAGTTGGCGTAATGGCTATGTTGCTGGACTCCCACGTGGTCGACCACGGTTTGAGTCCCGGGCCCGGTGGCTTAAACTCACGCCAGGCATGTGTGTGTGTGCGTGCCCAAGATCCCAAGAGGAGAATGGAGGAGAAGGGATTGCAGCGTTGCCATCTCCCCTGGGGGGGGGGGTGATTTCTCGCTTTCTGTCTCTCTGTCTCTCTCTGTCTGGCGAGCGCACGCGCCCTA